ACTACAAACTTTATCAACTAACCAACCAAGCTTACATATATCGTACACAAACACCGTAAAAATTAATTAGTTTTACTGTACTAATTTATTTGTTATCACATTTGATTAACTTGAAACATTGAATGTTATCCGCCTAAATTTAATTTCAATATCGTGTCTACTCTTTAATAATTTTAGCGGTATTTTATTCAGACTTTCGTTAGTGCATTAATCTTAGCTGCTATTTAATCGCGACGTTGACAATGTTGGTAAAATATTAATCAAGACAAATTAATTTTAGGCATACAAATGAAAAATAACGGTTTTGTTGGTTTTAAAAAGCAAATTTTAAAAAAGTGGTACCATCTCATTTTTAGAAGGGAATGAGAAAAAATGTGATACATTTTTGTGTGATAGGTATGTTTTAGATATAAATCTACTCTGTTAAACCATTTGACCAGATTTATCAAATGTGTTAATGATGTAACTGACAATATGTTTTACTCATGTTGTAATAAGGACGTTTACCAAATAAGTGTGAGCATTATAACCAGTGTGAACTTGTCAACAAGAATTTGTTACTTATGTTTAAAAACAGCTGTTAGCCGGATATAAGATGATTTGTGAACTTTTACCATAGAATGCTCTTCTAAGGTGCTTTGACAAGCATTGACAGACGAAGTCAAACCATAACAACCACTCAAGTACATGACCTTAGATAATCATTTAGGGTTACAGATGTTATAACCAAATCAAATTATACCTTCTGTTCTGGATTTGTCTAATATATTATTATTTATTTATTTTATTTCTTCAAGTTCCCAGTGGAACATAGGGATTCAAGCTAGAGGCTTGAAGTTTGAGTAGTAGTAGTGTTTATTTTTACGGGATGGGGTTGCCCAACCTCCTCTGTTTACCAGTCTTATTACTGGCTTGGCGAGGTAAAGGAGTGCATCGACTAGGGATCGAACCCCGAACTATATGTGGTATGGTTGGTGAGTTTTCTACCACTATGCCACCAACGTACAACCTACGTTTTGTGCCAGCTGGCTCTCATCAGCAGGGAGGATCTGCAACCTCGAAGGATCGCATGTCCCTTCTGAGACAGACAGATGTCCCTTCGGAGACAGACAGATGTCCCTTCTGAGATCCGAATCCGCGTCACCCAGTGCTGCATTTGTCTAATGAGCTCCACGAAAATCGAGTTTTTTATTACTGTGAGTTGCTAAAACATGGATACTCTGTGAAAGCTTGGCAAGATAGCTGGTCTCTTAATAGGATTAGGATTTTGAGACCGATTAAACAGCAGAATCAGAATAGATCTCAGAACACCATGATCTATAGTCAACATTTTTAGCAACTTCGCTACTTTTAACGATCCTCAATTCTGACTGACTTGCTCAAACTCTATAGTAAAGTCGACTGGGGTAGCTATGGTAGTTTAACCCTGCCCGTTGACAAAGTACACCCACAATGGTATCTCTAGAATTGAGGTTAAAAGGAATTTTGTCAATTTCCTGTCCTTCAGAAACTGACACCAAACACTACATATATATTTGTGTTTATTTCATACCGACAAATCGTTAGTTATTAGAATTGACAAACGCACTATCGCGTAATGTTGTGTAAACCACAATTTTGATAAAATAACAGATTTTAAATTCTATTTCATGACACTATATATGTAGTCTGTGTGCGTGTAGGCGGGGAAACATGGCCAGCAGAGATGGAGGCCAGTTTAAATCACCCGGTTACCTAAATTTTTTATCCACCTAAATGCATTGTTTCATTCTATTTCATTTTGTTTTAATGATACAATTATATCTAAGAATTACAATGTATACTTAGGCACATTTTCAAATAAGTTTCAATCTACCGCTACGAATTTTCTGTGAATAAACACATTTTTCGAAATAAACTTATTCCTATTATCATTCTACTTACGCCTTGTTATGCTACTGCCTGACATTACACAGGGAAGTAGTGTGTTTTGCAAAAAACGGATAAATTAATTCATTTAGTTGAAAAATAGTGTGTCAACACAATGTTCTTTTGTAGAAACTTTTGATTTTAATTTCGAATTATTATCACTGTTTATACAAACAGTCAGGCTGAGTTCCTTGAGTGTATCGTCACTAAACTGTCATAAACTGTTGTTGTAAATGTCTTTCTTATTGTCCTCTGTGAGTTAACGAGCTTAGTGGATGAAGCCTCAATGTAATTTGATTGGATGGAGGATTTCATCATGAGCTGATATCAGGTAGAGAACCATTGGAAAACCAACATGGACAGCAAGCTGTTTCATCAGCATAGTTTGGAACTCTCCAACACTACACACCCTCCAAAGGGGTTTGGACCCACGACCTTCTGGTTATAAGGTGACCTAACTCGTAGACTATTAAGCCAATGGGACCCTATCCAGTGGCCAGTCCATGAACTCTAATTCCTGTCAGTTCATGAAGTAGCGCGACTATTTCGCAATGTCTTCTTCGATGAGTTACTACCTCATCTTCATCCTGCTGTAACCTACTGATCACTCCTTCTCACTAGAACCCCAGTAGGATAGAGCAGGTCGAAGGTGACGCAGTAACTCATCGAAGAAGACTCTATGAAGTGGTCACGCTATGTCATGAATTGGCAGAGGTTAGAATTCATAGGTTGGCCATTGGATCCAGTCTCACTAGCTTAATGATCAACGAGCTATTTCGCATGGTAACCAAAAGGTCCCGGGTTAGAACCGTATTGGTGAGTGGGTACCGCTGAAGTGTCCCAAACTAGGCTAACGAGACAGCTGGCTGTCCAGTACTCCATGTTGGTTTTCCAATGGTTCTCTAACTGATATCAGCTGATGATGAAGTCCTTCAACCAATCAAACAAAATCCCTACAAACCTATACTTGAAAATCAATGAAATTTGCCTAAAAAAAGCTGAAATCCAGAAATTTATCAACCCTCATATTATCGGTTCAAAACATAAATGAGAATGTATTATTGTTATTGCTCATCCCCGAACAGTAGTGAATGGTGGTCGCATACACTAAGTGGAAAAGAATGGGAAGTTTTGCGATAACTCGTATTTCTATAAATATATGCACAATTAGCAGTATACAAAAGCCAAGATGCAATGCACATCTAATTTACCCTGGGTATATAGTCTTCACACACAATCGAAGACTTACAAGCGAAAACCGACAAACTGGTCGAAGAAGCAGCAAAGACAGGACTCCAGGTAAACATAGACAAGACGGAGGTTATGGAAATAACCAACCAACAACAGCAACAACATCCAACGTCAATCACCATCAACGGGAGGGATTTGAAAGAGGCTACTTCATTCACTTATCTAGGGAGCACTGTCACAACTACAGGAGGAGCGGATGAGGATGTCAAATTGAGAATCGGGAAGGCAAGAAACACATTCATCAGTCTGAAATCAATCTGGAAATCTTCGTCACTCAGCATCACCAACAAAATTCGGATTTTCAATACAAACGTAAAGTCAGTTCTTCTATACGGATCAAAAACTTGGCGGGTCACAAAGAATATTTCCAAAAGGCTGCAGAAATTTATTAACAATTGTCTTCGCTCAATACTGAAGATCAGATGGCCGGGCCGGAAAGAATCACCAACAAGGAATTATGGGAACAAACAATGCAAGAACCAATCGCCCAACAAATATGCAGGAGAAAGTGGAGATGGATCGGACACTCGCTGAGGAGACCGCTGGGTGACATCGCGCGCCAAGCCCTCGAGTGGAACCCGAAAGGGAAGCGGCGTGTGGGACGTCCAAGGGTGACATGGAGGACATCGTGTGAAGAGGAGTTGAAAGAAGATGGATTAACATGGATGCAGGCGAAAAGTATAGCAGAAGACAGAAGAAAATGGAGACGTGCAGTTGAAGCCCTATGTTCCACTAGGAACCCAAGGGAGCAATAATAATAAAAAAATAATAATATAGTCTTCACTAGTGTACTCACTAGACCTTACACCACATTAGGTCTTTTGATAATCACACAAGGAACATATCTCAAGTATACCCTTGTATCATAATTTAATGACTACAGTTTTCCGAATATTTACGATATGGTTTCACTGTCATACATTTTTACCACTAATTAAGTGCTTTCAAAAATGTTTGAATCTAATAACAATTCAGTACTGGTGTGATGAGAGCTTTCTGTTGGTCAAAATTGGTGGACAGTAATTTACGTCAGTGTTTATGTCCCCAATATTGGTCGTGAGAAAATATGAACAAAAACTGATTCAACAACCAACTACAGCAGACTATGCGTAGGGGTATACAATTTGCAGATAGATAGGTAATCTGAACTTCAATAAACGGCCACCCAGAGATAAAAGATTAACTTTCAGGGAGAAACAACTAATCAGAAGACTGTGTTTGTTTGCTTACATTAATGTATAATAATGTACATGAAAATCTATAAATATGTGTTGATTTCCTTAATAAACGATCTGTTGACTGGCCCTTATCTTCTGTTGTTACACTGGCAGTACTGACTTGTTCGCAGATGAATTTCATGAGACCTCAGTTAAAATCTGTAATCGGTCTATCTAATATGCGTGTGTGCATGTGTGTAGGGGAAGTTAGTCACGTATGAAACTAGGAGACAGTTACTATATATTTTGACTTGGTAGAAACTGGAAAATATAATGTAATGAACCTTGAAAAGTGACATGCCTATCCTTGGAATGGTATTCCTGTCTGTCTGTACTACCAAACTGCTAAGAGTTTGAGTCCCGAACAAAACAAATGCTCAGTGTTTCTTGAACTTTAGTGATACGCAAACTTTAAAAGCAAACAGCTTTCAGTGTATCCATCAAATGAATACTGTTTGAAGCATATTCCATCAATTTAAAACTTATAGTTGATAGAGAAATTTCAGTATTTCACTTCTATTTTAAAATGAACACTTCTGTACTATTTTTATTTTTTCTAGCCTAGGTATGCTCTTTTTCTCTACTATGAAAGCAAAAAGACTGAATAACCTAAAGTTCACTTACCAGATTTTCTGAGTATGGCAGATCAAGAATTTGATTTTGAACCATAACATCTAACTCAGTGGAATTGTTGCATAGATGTGACTTGTTGACACTGGAATTTTCACTTACACCATCCTTAGTGATTTCATTAATATTATCGTTAATTTTATTGTCATTAACATTGTCAGTATTATTATTATTATTGATTGTCTGATTCATACAGACTGGTGAAGATTGAGAATTTCTACCCATTAAACGATGATAATTTATGGATTTGCATTCATATTTATTCGGCCATTGAGATGATGTTAACAGCGATGGTGATGATGATGTAGATGAGTCCGGTTTAACTCCTGTCATGGATTCGTGGCTTATTGTGATCAAAGGATTTAATTTCATCTGACTTTCTGAACATATGGAATCTAAATAGAAAAAAAGCAAAAAATTCAAAATATTTTAAATTCTGATTAATTGGAAATATTAATCCTCTTGAAGATAATTTTCGAAGATCGAAAGTAAAACACTAAAGAACCCTTCGTTAGGCATGAGAATGTACGAGAGCTGTGGTCATTCATACAAGCCAATAAGCAAAGATACCCAGTCAGTAGATAAGCCCTTTCGACACGTTATTTACCTTTAGTCGAGTTGAACTACACACCGAATAAATACAAAAGAAAGATTCTTGAACACAGCTCCGATTACTGGTGCACAGAATACCTGTTATATATGTGTTGAGAGCTGGCTGTTAGTCAAGACTGATAGACAGTAATTTACGTCAATATTTATGTCCCCAATATTGGTCGTGAGAAAAATGAGAGCAAAGGCTTTGCGTAGGCGGGTACAGTTAACATATAGATGATCTGACATTCAAGAAACAGTCACAAAGAGATGCAAGGTTAACTTTCTGTGAGAAACAACCAATCAGAAGACTGTGTTTTTCTGCTAACAATAATCTATAATATGTACATGAAAATCTATAAATATGTGTTGATTTCCTCAATAAACTATCTGTTGACTGGCCCTTGTCTTCTGTTGTTACATATACACTTAACAGAAGCTAATTCAAATTCAAGAATAAGTCATATCTTGAATGCGAAGAAACAACACCAATTCAAAGTGAAATAGACATTTTATTACAAAGAATAAGGCATGTAGTTCAGTGAAGGAGTTTATTTCGGCGAATTCATTTTCTTCAGTTGCATAATCACATTTATATAATATTTTTTCACGGTGGAGTGTAGTAGCGAAAGTGATGAGTTATTGTGGTGAGTTCTACTTATAATCGCATATAAGTACTATAAGAGCAAACGAATTCAGAAAAGTAACAGTATGTCTGTGCCAGTGGAAAAAAGAAATCGAAGAAGAGAACTGTGGAAAGAACATTACAACACTGTGCAAAATCCAACAAGCTATCGAATGTGGTGATGCTTGACCAGTTTGCAAATGATGCGCAAATAAAGACTTAAAGCATATCAAATTTATGTACCTAAAATGCGATCGCTCTAGAGAACACGGCCTTTGAGCCTCATAGGTCCTCTCACTTTTACATTGTCATAACCATAGCTGGTAATATTAATTAGTGCATAAAAAGAGTTGAATAAGTGTTGCGTAACAAGATGATTAGTTTAAGGAATGAGTTATAATGAAGACTCATTGACAAAAATATCAAACCAAAAGTTTAGAGAAACGAAACCTTATCTGTGCCGAAAAGAAACTATTGGCACTGCCCACATACTTTGCTCTGCAGGAACAAGTGAACTGATATATGTACACAGATGTTGACAAAAGTAGGACATTGTCTTTAAAATGTTGATGAATAAGAGATTACTTAGAGAAGGTGGGAAGTAAAGATGTGGAGAAGAATGTATTTGGAATCTCTCACTTTAATCTGTCTCGAAGATCTTCAGATTGTGTTACCTTGAATTCCAGGTTTACCACCAACTTTTCCTTTGTAACTTGTTTATTGATGAATGTTGAAGAGTAAACATTCCAAGTGACAGCGTCGCTGAAAGACTCCAGTTCGCTATTTAGCGTGTCTTATCGGTGAATGTATGAGTGATTCTTGTGATGAGAAGGGATTTGATAATGGCTCTTTTTCTACTTAATGGGACAAAGCTGTAGAAGTTAGTTAGCTGTCATTTCTATTTTAGCTTGTGGTGAATTGACGTCTAGACTGATCCATCATTTCTCTCCGAAAGCTTTGCTCCTGACTCAACTTCTAGAGTAAAACTAATTGATCAATGAGTGTTATGAAACACTTCAAGGATTTTGTTTGGGTCCATATGCTCATCGGCGGTGATGAAAACACTATATGTATAGGACTAGATTGCATAAAACAACTTGATGAAAAATATGAGAACATGAAACTTAAAATACGAATCCTTTCTTTGAGAGTTTATTTGAACCATTTCTCGAATAATTGTGTTATTAGTCTATTGGACACTTAGTGTAGAGTGGATGGTAAATTACCTAACTACTTCAATTAGAAACGACACAAATGGTAAGCTTTATAGACAGCGATTTGATATGATTATGAGCAATAATTTCTGCTCGAAACATCATCAGTTATTATTACTGTACAACAATGTGTGATTTATCAAAATAAAATCTTATCCATAAAGGAGACTTATTTTCTGTGTCTTAACACCTTCTCAGGTAGTGATTTACACGTCAGTGGTTCATATCATCAGTAAACTAGGGTACAAATTGCAGGCTTAGATATTGTGCATTATTAATTCAAATGCTTCTTGTAAGGATACATACCTTAGAGGTTAGACTTCTCATTTCAGAATGTTGCACATTATGCATGACTCCTTCTCTCTCTGGCTAAAACGAAGTGTATGATTCTTCTGAAAAACACTTACTTCTTCGACTGACACTAGGATAAATGTATATCCTTCACAGACAGACTGCTGTGTTATTCAGAATTTCTTCGGTCATATAACGCCTCATAACATGACTATGATGAGCATGAAATTTAGGAATGAATACGTAACTGATTGTGACACTTTTGTCAAAACTTTTGAGATTAGTAACATAAGCGAAATTTCCTTTATTGTCAAATATTTATTTCATTGGCTGGAGAATTTCATCATGAGCTGACATCAGTTAGACAACCATTGGAAAACCATCAGGGAGTACTGGACACCTAGCTGTTTCGTCCCATTTTTGGGGCTATTCATCAGTATTCATCCACCCTATTCAGGCAGCTACCTGGGGTTCTAGTGGGAAGCCATGAAAGTGAAGAGAGTGACTCATCGAAGAAGACATTGTGAAGTGGTCGCGCTATGTAATGAATTGGCAGAGGTTAGAATTGATGAACTGGCCACTGTATCGAGTCCCAGTGGCTTCATGGAGCATAATTTTCCATTTGGTTGCATTTCAACATGTTGAAAACTGTTAGAAATTATGAAAATCACATCATAATACTGCTAGTGGCATAAAAAATAATACATTACTAACTTGTCAAGCGTATCAATAGCTCAAGAGTCATAAAGAAGTGATCTGTTGGTATTATTGCGAAAACCCCACACACTCACACACAGAGTACGTATGCCATGATTGACTGTTCAACCTGACAGAAATATGCCCAAATATTTTGCCTGACAAATGATATTTTAACAATTTAATTATTATTCGGAAAATTCCACGTGCACAGTAATATTCAAAATAAGAATGAGATAACCAGTGGATAGGTCAATTCGGCACACCGCAAAGACAGTGAATATCTGAAGCGAAGCGTGAATGAATAAATTTTAGTCTTAAAAAGAAATGGGCACCTATAATGGCTTCCCCCAGCTTGTTGGTGTTTGTATACTTCCCTGTTGTTGCTTAAATGATAGAATCAGGTTAGTGAGTAGAGTACCTCTATTTCCAAGTGAACAGAATTATTTCTTTTACAAAACTTCTTTGTTGGTGGCAGTGGTGATGGCGAAATTTATTAATTATGCGCAACCACTGATATGAATTTAATTTGTCTTCTATGGAACTGATACATTTATTTTAAAAACATTCTATAGCTTTCAGGAAACCATGGAAACAGTCTGATATGATTGAATCCATGATCAAAACAACTGTACTAGCTTATGTCTTATGTATAATGGAATACTTCAGTTTATCAGGTGTCGTTGGTTCAGTTGTAGAACAATCGCCGACCCTACGAGTCATCTGAGGTCCGATTCTTGGCCGATACATACCTAAACATCCCTTAGCCGGTAGAAGAAGTAGTAGTAGTAGTGTAACGACAGAAGACAAGAGTCAAGCAACAGATCGTTTATTGCGAAAATCAATAGATATTTATAGATTTTTGTGTACATTACTATTAGCGTTATTGTTAACAAAGGAGCAACCCCTTCTGATTGGATGTTTTCTTGCTGGAAGTTATTCTGTAGTACTTGTGACCATTTCTCAGGAAGTTAAGCCATATATCTACGAATCGTGTCTGCACAAGTTAAGTCTGCTGTGATTGGTTGATGAGTTCCTCAAGGTTTAACTTTATTATTGTTTTTTTCTCATGACCCGATTCGGGACGTTAACGTTGACGTAAATTGTTGTCTACATTGGTGGCTTGCAGCCAGCTCTCATCACAGTAGTAGCAGTAATAGTATTAAGGCAGATGAAGAGGTAAGATTGAGCTTGGGGCTAGCAGTTCTACTCCGTAAAGAAAGCAACATTGCTAGTGAAGCTTCAAAGCCCCACCTTGAAGCCCAGTGTTCCATTCAGAAGGCAAAGGACTAAAATATTATGATAATAATAATAATAATGAAGAGTCCCATGAATCCAACACTGACAGCTATATTGTTTCTGAAGTAGACTTCGACACCGTTTACAAATACATGAGAATAATTTTTTATGGCTAAACTACACTACAGCTCAAATTTGTTTTAGCCAAATTATTCAGTAGATACATTCTGTTTACGGAGGTTTATTGTGTCAATTTGTACTACCAAATCAGTTTCAAAACTTTCCGTATCACATTTATGCCTCTCACACTTATTTTCTCTGAATTTCTCAGAATTGGAAAAAATCATTATGAGTTATAGAAAACAAAGTTCAAAGTGGTTTGTTTAAATATTTCAGAAGAACTTTGCGTTAAAAAAGTATATATATATATATATATATATATATATATATATATATATATATATATATATATATATATAAGCTGAGTGTCAATGTCGTGTGAGTTTTCTTCCATAGAACATTTATCATTCCAGTTTTGGTTTTATTTATGTTTTCATTTGACCTAATTCACTTGTCTGTAGTATCTCATTGGAATTTGTCCCTACATATATGCACTGGTGATGAGATTTATTGAAAAAAAAGAAAAGAAAACACCAATAGAAAGTGACGACAGAGAAATCAGGGAGTTTTTTTTTGTTAAAAAGAACAAGTACTTTATATGGATTCTCAAATAAATATTTTCACGTATTGGTTTCTTATAAGGGAGATTTAAAGTTGAAGTGCGTCGGTGGCTCAGCGGTTAGCATGATCGCCGACCATGCATATGGTCCAGGGTTCGATCCCCGGCCAACACACTCCTTTGCCTCAGCCAGTAATAAGACTGGTAAAGAGGGAAGGCTGGGCATGAGGCTGGCTTGCAACCGCATCCTGTAAAATTAAACACTGCTACATAAACTTCAAGCCTCCAGCTTGAAGTCCTATGTTACACTGGGAATGTGAAAGTAATTTTAAAAAACCAAGGAATTAGGTAGAAAAATTGTTCACATCCTGAGCTACAAATATTGTCCATCATTTTAGCACTGGAAACTGTTAAATTATCAAACTATAACTGCACACTTATCGGAATTCTGTTTTGTAGTTTATACTACTGAAATCTATCTCCTAATGATTTGATAATTATTCCCTTTGATTTCATCTTCAGATATTTTTTTTTGTTGTCATTACAATTTTCTCCAATCAAACTTATGTCGAAGTTTATTTACTCTTATGACTTCTTTTAAATGAGAACTAAGAGAGAATTTATTGAAACAAGGCACTGTATGCATTCGAGTCGGTGAAGTTTCGAGGTAAGCGTAGATCGTCTTTAAGAAGGATTGTTTTATTCACTCGTCTATACACACTGTACCTGTTAATTTCCATTTATGTTATATAATTAAATTGTGAGTTAACATTCAGTGGCTAACAAACAAGTCTACGGATAAAGTGCAGGAGATTTAAAATCGATTAAAAATGCCCATTAAAAATTATTTTTCAAAAGAATGGTTACTGTATATAGAATATTTTTTTTCGATAACTTCATCATTAGGTTCTGCAGTTATATACATACATAATAGTGAATGAATTAGTGTTATTAAAAACATTGTTGTTGTTTTAATAACATCAAATAAATAATAATATCAATGGATTACAGTTACTGAATATCGGAAACGTTAGGACTTGATTTTTCGTGCACGGGATCATCCACCAGTGTGGCTAAATAAAGGTGTAGTAAAAACTATCAACAGTTCGATGTTAGACCACCTGGTCCAAACCTGCCACAAGGTCAGCATTGAAGAATCCTTCTCTGTCATTTACTCGGTACCAAATAAATTGCCAAAAAAATTCAGGTACCGCATACTACAAACAGCAGAGTCTATCGTGATTCGCCTGGAGTAACCGGTTCTCTTTTTTACAGAAGAAGCAAGTCCATCCACTACTATTATCCTGGCCGGCCTTCAGTGGAGACTGTAAATTCATGAATTTGTATTATTGTCTTTCCTAATTTTTCTGATATTCAGTGTATTGTTATGTTGATGCTATCGAACTATAATCCACTGATATAATAATTATTATTGATTCGATTTTAGTTAAACGACATTAATTTTAGTATACAATTGGTGGATGGTGGCTAGCAGTGGAATCCAGGGTGCGCATTTCGTCCTATTTGGGACTCGTCATCTGGATGTACCTGCATTTCTCAGTGAGTGATGACGTTCCCACCGAAGCTCGAACCCAGTACCCATAGTTTCAAACGCCAAAGCGTTATCCACTAGACCACTTGGGCCACGAGAGCCACCTCTTGTGCAACGGGTCATATTAATTATTGAATTGAATTTTTGATTTTCCCGTCGATTGATTGGACCGAAGTGCTCGGTCTCAGGTTGACGTGTCGGCTTCTTGTGCAGATGCCGCGACGATGCCTGGGCATTTAATTAGTATACAATTGGTGGATGCAGGTACATTCAGCTGACGAGTCCCAAATAGGACGAAATGCGCACCCTGGATTCCACTGCTAGCCACCATCCACCATTTGTATACTAATTAAATGCCCAGGCATCGTCGAAGCATCTGCACAAGAAGCCGACATGTCAACCTGAGACGGAGCACTTCGGTCCAATCAGTCGACGGGAAAATCAAAAATTCAATTCAATAACATTAATTTTGTTAATAACACTAATTCATTCACTATTATGTGTGTACGTAAATGTGGAACCTGATGGTGGAGTTATCGAAAAAAAAATTCTTTGTTTAGTAACTACGTTTTTGAAAAAGCTTTGAAATTGTTAGAAATTTTATAACTTCATTTCCACTGGTGATAAAAGGAAGAGTTAAAGAGTGACATTTAGTATTTGGACAAGTAGTTGAGTTATCCAGACACTGTTTATGTTGTTTCAGCCTTTAATAGAAGTGATCAGAAATATTTTACACACTTTGAGGCTAAAACAAGTAACATGACACAAAGTTCCAAATACTCTATCAATCCTCAATGGATTATTCAGCATAAAAAGAATTTCTCATGGTGTTTTATAATCAAATGAATAAAAATCATAGCTGGATTACTTACTTATCGGATAGTATTCCAATATGTAAACTTGAAAGTGACACAATCTACAACTAACGTATATTTTCATTAATCAGAAATTTATTTTGAATACTACGTCTGATTCAGTTTCCTAATTTTTGAATTACCATTTACCAGAACCTTAGAAAGACAGAATTATTTTATGATTAGGTCATAATTGTTGGTCATGACAAAGCTGTTATTAGCTAGAATTTCATGTAATATAACCTATATATAACAGTACATGTTGTATTTCATTGAAAGACTTTGGTTGACAGATAAATCTTTCTTATGAGGGATATTTAAAGTTGAAGTGCGTCGGTGGCTCAGCGGTTAGCATGCTCGCCGACCATGCATATGGTCCAGGGTTCGATCCTCGGCCGACAAACTCCTTTACCTCAGCCAGTAATAAGACTGGTAAAGAGGGAAGGCTGGGCATGAAGCTTGCAACCTCATCCTGTAAAAATAAACTCTGCTACATAAACTTCAAGCCTCCAGCTTGAAGTCCTATGTTCCACTGGGAATGTGAAGGTAAGTTAAAAAAGTTGATAAGAAGTGTTGGGTAGCAGCTCCAGAATTACGGATCTCATTTCTTATCGACAAGAAGGGGAGGGATTCAGAAATTACTTATGTGCGTATATCATCAAGATCTCATAGTGCATTCAACATAGCTAATGAGCGACACTTTGAAAGTGATCCGTACGGACCTCAGCATTTCTACTAATCCTATCAGTCGTTTCCCATGTAATAAATATTTTAACCTCAGCTTTTCCCAAAGGTGAGTTAAAGATTTTCAAACTAATTGTTGGACTATCCGTAATAACTTTGCATAAGCAGACTAATAATGATGAGTGATGATTACAAGTGAAATGAAAATCTCAGTAAGTCGCATCAGGATTCAAACAAACGGACTTTAGATTGTTAGTCCGGTTAGTGTAAAAAAAAGTTCACATCCAAGACTAGTGGTTCAAGCCGAAGCACAATACTACAAAATTTATGTGACAAAAAGTAATCATATCTCTTTAGCAGGACGTGTCCATGATCCCAACAGGAGTTGAATTCAGGATGTTCAGGTTATGAGGCGAGTTCTTGGATTACTAAACCACTGAGACAGAGTCAAGTAACCCTTAAATTTATGTTGTATATCGGGAAAAGCCAGAAGTTAGAACTAACTCATGGGTCATCTGATTCCCTCCCAACACTCTCGTTTCGTAACCTGAAGGTATTGGCTCATGGATGCATGCCGATTAAGAATCTCAAAATAGGACGAAATGACTGTCCAATACTTCCTGGTTTCCAAAGTCAGACTTGTAGCCAATCAAATCCCTACCAAAGTGATCATATCTACCAACTTATAACTAGAATTCATTAAAAAGTAGATTTTAAAGTTAAGATATTGGAAAAATCATTTTCAAGTGAACTGAAATTAGATCATCTGATCTAAAACTAAATTTAAAAGAGTTTTTTTTAAAAAAAACTTCATCATTGATCTTCATTATGTGAACAAAGGACGAAATTATCACATGAGTATCCCCATCTTCTGAAATGGGGAATGACTTGTGACTATCCTAATTGCTTCACATTATCGTTCTTTACTTTTTAAGCCATGTAAGTCATGTATGCTTGCTAAAGCGTCATACAGTGGGAGAAAAGATCTCTGAGTGATTTTCAATTTTCAACCATAATTCGTCTGATACCTTGGTTTTATGAAAGCCGTGGTTAGTATTCGCAAATTTGATTATCACATGAATTTATTGCTTAGATATAAACTTACTCTCATTACCATTTGTATATTCAGATTCATACAGGGAACGATGTCTTGCCTTATCTAAGAATGATTTATTGACTTCTTTCGCATTTGATGTTTGTGAAGGATCACCGTCTTCATCAATTTCACTTTGATCTTCATCACCATCGTCATCGCCGTCACCGTCACCGTCATCATCATCATCTTCCTCGTCTTCCTGTTGTACACCATGATTACCGTCTCGATTATTACAGTCACCATTTTCGGGATTGTTTCTATTCGGCATAGCACTCCTTGATTCGTTTATTCTTTGACACCAGTTAGTCGACTGTTCACTACACATACGCCTACTAAGTGAATGATCATTTAAGCTCGACTTAATCATTGATGTATTACAATACAAAAATGCTTCATTCATATGATTATCTGTTAAAGATGCTTTAGTATAATCCAAATGTAATTTTGTTGATTCAATTCCTGGTATTAATAAATTAGAATAAATAATCTCTGGTGTTGAAGATGCATTATTATTACTACTATTATTATTATCATTATTCCCTGTTGATAATGGTTTGATACAATTGATCCAGTTAGAATTAGACGACATCGAGGCTACAGTAGAATTCATTGACTGTTGCTGTGATTGTTCTTGATTAGATAAAATCAAATGAGACTGGTGTTGTGAATAATACGCATGAGGATAAGGCAATGAAACATTTAATGGATAGGCTAAATTTGTCACTGTCTCGCATGGATGATGTACACCGTCCTTTGTACATGTTGATAATGGATGCGTGAAATTCTCACTGAACTCTGACACTAAAGGTATGTGTTTATAGTCTATAGAATTACTCTGAGATGTATACATAGTTAAATTATCGCTGAAATTATGATTCATTCCTGTCGATGAAGATGGATTACCAGTGGTAATGTTTAGCATACTTGGGTATTTTGTGAGGACATTCGTAAAATGAAGTGTTTTATGCAAAGTCGTGGTTTCTTTCTCCTTGTTCTTCCTGTGTGCTATTTGTTTTGTTTGTTTTTTTGTCTTTCTAGTTCACCTTCATTCGAATTCAACTGCGTAATTTAGGTAGGATTGACCAAGTTGATTTACAAGACAAAGCAGGGAGTGATTGAGTTAGTGAGAGAGAGAGAGAGTGAGTGGGTGAGTGAGTGAGTATTACCATATGTCATTGTAGATATTTCAGTGTGTCTGGGCTAGGCCTTAATAGGATATCGTTGAAATCCGTTTTCTAACTTGTAATTTTTAAGTCATAACCCCTTTCTTTACCTACCTAACTACCTAGTTGCCTAAATTGTTGTTCGTTCGTATATGGAAAACAGATTCGTCCATGTATACACACACACACACAATAAAAATACGCACGCATACCTTACTAGTAATGTTTTGATATATCCAATGTATTTTATAATACTAGGATAGATAGAATAAAGACCATTTTAAAATATCAGTTTTTTTATGGGCAGGGATAAAAATTGCCAAAGAATTTTATTGGTTGTCCTTATCATTTATCCGATAGGCTTAAAATATGCGGTCTATAAAAATACTATATATATGTATATACTGACAAGACATTTTATATGCGTACATTAGATACGTGTGCAGACACACATTTATGATCATTTAAAAATTCATATACTATTCAGATACTATACAGAGTATTGGGGAGTAATTTAATGAAAATAAATACGCAATTATTTTTAACTGCTTAAAGTTTTAATTTTTAAGAATTGGTTTTTAGAGGGACTCTATTTGTTTCAGGTTGGACCGTGGACTGATATCAGTCAGAGAACGATCGAAAACCAGAGAGAAATCGATAACTGTTTCATCCTAGTTTGGGACTCATCAGCAGCACGCACCCACTGCCATGATTCGAACCCAAGATCTTCTGGTTATAAGGCAAGCTAGTATACCATTCAACCACTGGGACCCGATTCACTATCCCATGAGTTCTAACTTCTACCAGTTCGTGTTATAGCGCAACCACCATCCATCCTCACATTTAACTGGATGGACATCACTGGTCACGACTTGTCACTAGAACTCCGGGAAACTCCATCCTGTAGCAAGTCACTATTGAGCATTGGATTAATTTTCAATATTTAGTTTGTAAGGATTAATTTTGTTTTTAAGAGTTGATGACGGACTGAAGTCAGTTAGAGAATCATTGAAAACAAGGGAGTACTGGACAGCTGCTATTTCATCCTAGTTTTTGGGAATCATCGGCAGTACTCCCCCACTCACTGGGTTTCGAACCCAGGAGCTTCCGGTTACAAGGCAAGCTTATATAGTATTCAGCCAATGAGATCCGATTCAATTCGTGATTTTAGCGCAACTGCCAATCAGTGTCATTGGTGGGAACTCCGTCCGCATTCCCCACTGGATGGCCCCCACTTGTCGTGACTTCTCACCTAGAACTCCAAACAACTTCCTCCTCTAACCAGTCACTGGCAAGCATCAGATTAATTTTCAAGAAATTGGCTTTTAAAGCTTTGAATAACTGGGTCTTTAGAGAATATTGGTCGTACTGACGTCCCATTGCGTAATAATTCAGTAGTTAGGTTCAATGCACAATTCAGGCATTCATGCATGTGCGTCGGTGGCACAGTGGTTAGGACTCTCGCCGACCATGCACATGGTTCGGGGTTCGAGCCCGCACCGACGCACACCTGATATCTATGGTCGGCCTGCAAAATTTGGGCTACCGATATCCATGCTGAAAATTCCATACTTGTACCAAAAATACAGTGTGGAATCAAGCTGTAAATCAAAAATAAAAAAAATAAAATAATATGGACTGTTTATGTAACCGGATGATATTAATAACAAATGAAAGCTATCATTGGTAGGCAAAACAGTTGTCACATAGCCGTAAATAGAATTCTAGGTCCATTAATTAATTAGTTAATGACTGAATGGAGTGACCAGATTTCGGGTACTGACCTAATTTTAATCAGTACACTAAAATCTGGATTTAATTCATATATGTTTACTATTAAAAGATGTGATGAGGATGTTGAAATTAGGATCGGAAAGGCTGGACAGACATTCATTACTCTTAAATTAGTTTGGAAATCTTCTTCGCTCTGTATAAGGAACAAAATTCCGATTTTCAATACAAATGTTAAGTTGGTTTTCTGTATGGCCCAGGGACTTGGTGCATCACGGAAGGCACTCCAACATGCCGCTGCGAACTTTTATCAATAGCTCCCTTCGGTCCATACTGAAGTTTAGATGGTCAGAAAGGATAAGCACCAGAGAACTATGAGGAGGAATCAACTAATATGCAGGAGGAAATGAAAAGGGGTGGCTAGAGCACACGCTGAAGAGATCATTGAGTGACACCAAGTGACAGGTATACCCTTGAGTGGAACCTGAACAGGAGACGGCGAATAGGGCATGGGCTCAAGGGTGACATGTGGGAGATCGTGTGAGGAGGAGATGAGAGGTTGTGGGAAATAGTGGAACAAGCTGAAGAAGACTGCACAGAATAGGACGAAGTAGAGATGTGCTGCTGGATCCCTATGTTCCACTCAGAAAAGCTAGGGAATAATAATATATAACTGGTCAATTGACTTCCGTAAGAGATAATTTTTCTTGAACTTACGAGTTCTACTCACCATATTACATCATAGTCTTTTCATCTGACTTTTTGTACACCAGATTTTGATATTCTCTTATCTAACTATGTAATTGTTACTAACTTTTGTTATCACTCTAACAACAAACTTGTTAATTAATTTCCTAAAGGCATCTCTCTAACAGGGTATATACATATATATACTTACACTTCAGCTATATTGTCATCCTGATGTTTTACCTCACCATGACACTTGTAATATTCTTGTTGGTGACAAAAGTATGTTAAATTTCCTTTATTAAGGGTCATATGTTGTATGCAGCTGATGAAAACCACCGAAATAAAATGGATCCATGTTATTCTGCACCAATGATTGCTCTTTCTCTGCACAAATCTATAAAAGGGAATTCTTGTATGTAATGTAGGTCTATTTTGCCTTTCCGATTCTGGCTTCGATATCCTTATCCACGTCATCTGTATTTGAAACGATGGTGTTCAGATAAGAAGAAGAGGTGGCCTCGTTCAAAAGATTTCTTCATTGGATAGGCATTAGGGCTCGTTGTAGTTGGTTAGCTATTTCCATCAACTCTTTCTTCTCTATATTCACTTAAGACAGGATATAATGTATCTTCAAATATTTTCTTTTGAAAACCTAAGTGTATGAGAGTAATTTTTCAAGATATTAATGAATCAATACACTATTCCTTCTCAGTGAGATTTTTAATAATTAATGAATGTTTAAAATGCTACAGTAATACTGACATAAATGATAAAATATGACTAACTGACTGCAGATAATGAAAATTGAACATTTCTCATAATTCGCCTAGTTCACTGAACAGATACAATGGCAGACTACCTACCTACATTATGGCTTAACCTACTGACACACCCATTATTTTCTTCAGTATGCCTTGGAATCAGTTTCCTACAGTTTATAGTAAAGTATTTAGTGTTGGGAGGGAACTCGGGTTATTCATCGTCACATACGAAATTTCCTTTCTATGTATTTACCATATTCTCAGGACCCTTAAGTCATTTAAATGATAAGCTGAGTGACGAATACTTCAGTAAAAAAGTAGTATATTAAGTACTGAAAATCTTCTAAAAGTGAAGGAAGCTCTATAAGACATTATTCAGTTAGCTATGCACATAAGTAACAAGTAAGTTTCGAAAAAAATATAGCAAATTGTGAATTTAATTTAATGTACTTCTAATTCATCCAAGTAGCTAGCAAGAATTCGAAGCATTTGAAGTAATTAAGCTCTCTGAGTTGAGCGAAACCGGGCACATTTGTTCATGAGCTAGGCCTCGAATGAGTGAAACAGACGTTCGGTGTCTAAACCACGTTGGTTTGGCTAGCAAACACTACTGAACTACACAGAAAGATGATGAAGTGGAGTTTCAACGACGCATTTGAATGCATAGAAATAATCGATAATTTTCACTTTAAAGAAAAAAATAATATATCCTAAGAATTCACTTCTATCTCTCAGAATTTTAGACTGGTATGGACTACTGATTAGATAGGCGAACAAATGAATGAGGCAAGTGGGACTTCACTCTCTGAAGAGAATTAATTATTGCTAAAGTGAATCACGAAGGTTAATTTCGAATTCTACGGTGAACTAAACAGATAAATGAATATGATCTCAATGATTCATGTTTTTTAGTGGACATTTACCAAACTAGACTAGAAGATGGTCAGCCTAGTAATCCAACTAAATAATTTGAAATTCACAGTTAATCTGGTGGATGAAACGTTCACGCTTTGTGAAAGTTATCATAGTAGACATTATACTTATTAGGTTCAATGACAGTTCATATTGTAAGTAAAGAGTCTGAGTGTAAATATCCTTTCCGGATGTTGTTTTTCCTAGAAAAGTAGGCGAGTAGGCTAAAAAGAAGTTAGAAAATAAAAGTAAATGGACTGGGCAGTACCGGACAGTACTGATGGCGTAATGTAACACTCTGCTTGGAGGTAATCATCCCAGTAAATTTATACGAACGCTTATCGACATTAAAAAAGTGGAAGAAAGTATTCTAGATGGTAGGAAAAAGGCATTAATACGTACAGCTACAGTTTATAAGCGATGCATCTCGGGGGATATTGTTTTAAAAGCCACTCATATCCACTCAAAGAACGTCTCATACTGGAAAGTTTTTTTTTATTCCTTCACGTTCCCAGTGGAACATAGGGATTCAAGCTAGAGGCTTGAAGTTTGAGTAGTAGTAGTGTTTATTTTTACAGGATGGGGTTGCTAGCCTCATGTCCAACCTTTCCTCTTCACCAGCTTTATTTCTGGCTTAGGAGTGCGCCGGCCGGGGATCGAACCCCGGGCCACATGCACGGTCGGCGGGCGTCCTAACCGCTACACCACCGACGCACATACTGGAAATTTACAAACTATATTTCCCATGCATTCAGTGTTGAAACCTGGGGGTGTAGAACGAATTATCCAGGCTCCCTTGAAGTTATTCCATACAATAGATTTTGCCACAGATATTATGTCTCTA